ACTGCTTGCCAAGGAAACCGGGCTCCATGTCCAGTATGTTGCGGTGAGCCTTTTGGGTGTCGCGCATTTTCTCGACCAGCTGTAGACCCTGGCCGTCTACCGCACCCAGCTGTATTTCGCGGTAAGCTCGGCAGTAGTCTCGTGTACGCCGGGCGAAGCGTCGCACCCGACCGATGGTCAAATGCTTTTCCCTGCATATCGATTTTTCGATGTTGGCGTGCAAGTGCTTCGGGACTTCGTCGTTGTACTTCCGCCGAAACCTCTGCTTGGAAAACCCCCAAGAGTACTCGATCCCTACCCCCGCTACCTCTGGGCGACACTTCGGAGACAACAAAAGTATGTGTCCTCTGCTCTCGACCAAGTACTGCAGCCCCGTCCTCTCACTCTCAAAATCCGTCAGTGCCTGCAAGACTTTCTCGATGTTCTTCTCGTCAGCGATCCCCACTGACGCATTCATCCCTCGTCGAGGTTGTGTTCTTTGTTTCCGCGAGGAACGCTATGGCCACATTCTGTCTTGGAAATCACGATCTCGTGCCTTGGTGCACAGAAAGACACGGCGGCACTACTTCACTGCATATATAGACTATGTAATCTACATTACGCAGTGGTGACGTTTGGGTTTGGTTAGGTGAGGGTCAAGGTGAGGGTCAAGGTGAGGGTCATGGTCGTGGTGTGGTGTTGCATTCGGTCGGGCAAGTCTATGTGACGGGTCTGTGATATTATTCCTGCGGCTCAATAGGTCCACCCGTAGGTACATGCCAGGCTACGCACGATCCAACCCGTATTCGTGAGTACACTGTAGTATAAGCCGAGAATAGGATCTCACGTGGGTTCACAATCTAATCTCGACGTTGCTTGGGGAGAAAGTAGGATCGGAGGAGGAACTTGGAAAGGTCATACTGACACGGAGCTGAAATGTTCAGAACTCTGCCCTATGTACAGATGCTGCCCAATAATTGATGTATGCAGGAATGTTCGAGGAAAACCGTGAAACCCTTCTACTTCAAGTACCACAGCAGTACTAATAGAGAAGACGAAATCAAACCAATAACTTTCAAAGGAGACGAGAAGAAATCATTCGACAACGTCGTCAGCGCTGACGAGTCTGGTTATAGGTATTGTGGAAGACACCTGTCAGAATATAGTCTATATATAACCAACCATTTTTGCACAAAGTGTAGGATAACATGATTCCTCTGGGTAACTTGCGATCGGGAAAAGTGGCAAGTAATGCATCGAGGAGATTCGTTTCTTCCGAAGTCCATGGCCGATTGCTGAGGAAAGAGACGGGGAGCCTCCGGCTCTCCTCACTCGACCCTCTGGTCACTCTTTTCCTACCTTCCCCTCCTCGTTACATTTCACGAAAAGGAAAAAGCCACCCTTGGCAGTGGGCGAATGCTGCAAGATTTTCGGCCTCTCTCTGTCTCCGACAGGGACCAGTATCCAGTCTCGGCTTCTATAGACTAGTACGCGTGGGCCGGCGCATGGAAAAACGACACCCTTTCTAACCAACTTGAAGAAATGTTCGCCATTCATTCAATGATGCATGTACAGCAGGAGCACAAATGTCGCAGCAACACACCGCAGGGTTTGGTTACGCCGGAAGGACTACCTCTACGGCGTATTACGCACAGACTAGAGGGAGTAACTTCTGGGTTGTTGTTGTTGTTGTTGTTGTTGTTGTTGTTGTTGTTGTTGTCTTGACATTAAAACCCGTTCCGATCTCTCTCTACCTGGGTAGCACTGGGTGCATGTCCTTGTATACGATGAGAAACAACGACTATTCTCCACTGAGACCGTTCGCTCTCTATCTAGAGGTCTAACAGAACGGAAATGAATAAATAGATGATTTCGTTAATTAACTCCGAAGCTCCGAACCACGCACTCTATCGAGCCGAACGCCCGAGGCGCGAGGAATGAGACTATCGACCATCTCGATAGTATCAACATGGTAGAATATCAGTAGTGGACGACATCGTCAGCACATGCATGTAGAGAGTTGGTACGGATACACCATCAAGAAAATATGTTTGTACACTTGTACATGACGTTTCCCACTCTGGAATGGCGTGAAGAGCGAGTTCTTGTAACCGAATGGTCACGACGATGAAGATCATGATGGAGTAGACTATACTTCGAAGTATTTACAGTAACTCGCTGCAACCGTTCGTTCCGTCCTGCCTCAAGTCTTATCGTAGAAGGCTAACAAGGTGGCACGACGGCAGGGTCTGCACGACGGCTGCTCCGGACTCAAACGGGGGTCGTGCTGGCTTCCTTATTTGGCTGTATTGATCGGTTCAATCAGAGAACGCACCAAGCCGATCTTCGACCAGATGTATACTCCCCTTATTCCCCTCGCTGCCTCAGCAAGGTTTTGCGTAGGCATGACCCATAGCGAGGGGGGGAGTCTTTCTAGCGAGCAGGGCTAGACTCACCCTCAAGGGACCGATACCTTCTTGCTGCGGCGCACCCGCCGCGAGGCGTGCGTAGTGGAGGAGTTGGATTGGCACTGGTGCGTCAGGTACAACGGTGCAGATGCGCGGGCCTCCAGGCCGTTGGTGTAGGCAGTAATGCCCGTCTCATCTTTGTGCGCGGAGGCAGACGCCATCAGACAGGTGGACGGGCACTATGTATACGGCCCTAGGTTTGCAAGAGGGAGCTGCACTATCTCAGTAACCTGGTTTTGCCATCAAAGGAGGAGGGGACAGGTGGTGACGAGCTGATTGGGCTGGTTGAGACCAATTCTTATGGAAGGTCTGCAGTTGCTGAGATTTGGGTTTGTAGTGAGGCCGATAGAACATACCAACCCCTATGGTGCTGTTATTTNAGACCAATTCTTATGGAAGGTCTGCAGTTGCTGAGATTTGGGTTTGTAGTGAGGCCGATAGAACATACCAACCCCTATGGTGCTGTTATTTGCCGGAAAAACACGATTTGAAATCGTATATACCCCGGAATCGCTCTGCCCGCTACGATTTGGAGGCCCAAATCGCTGCGAGATTTTTTCGGCGACGATTTGGGTTTGATGCCGTTCTTGGAGGCGTGCCCTACTTCAACGGTTGAATCTCGCCACCTCTCATCATCACCACCACATCAGTACACCAGCACCGTCCT